CCCAAACCTTCTCTCGTCCGGATTGTACATATGCGTTGTGTTTGTCTTTGTTTCAGCCTCCGAGTTGGGTGTCATCGTTTGATACATCATCACATCTTCACTAACCTCATCCTGGTCTTCATTATCCTCAGCAGCATCTCTTTGGCAGCAGAGGATCCGATTCGTGCCCATTCCTTTCGAAACCACGTGAGTATCAATTTGGAGATGTCAACTAGATTAGGGGTTCCTAAAGGGAACCTTCTATGGCAAAGGGAAAGTCTTTTTTGCTAGCCTAGCAAACCACTTTTTTGCTAGCTTTTCCAATGGGTTCCAATGGCTTTTCCAATGGGTTCCAATGGCTTTTGGAAGAAGGGTCAGTCGCACTCCGGAGGACAGACGAATATAGTGTGTATTTATTGATCCATAGGACACACACAAAACACCTATGGATCAATAAATACACACTATATTCGTCTGTCCTCCAGTGTGCGGCTGACCCTTCTTCCTGTTGCGTCATGTGTGGTGGCGAGCCCGGGGCCTGCACCTGTTGGGGATTGGTCTGGGTTGTTTGCCTGAGCGGTATACCTTTTTGTTCTTTGGATTCTTCCAATTGCTTTTCGAATGGGTTCCAATGGCTTTTCCAATGGGTTCCAATGGCTTTTCCAATGGGTTCCAATGGCTTTTGGAAGAAGGGTCAGACGCACACCGGAGGACAGACGAATATAGTGTGTATTTATTGATCCATAGGACACACAAAACACCTATGGATCCATAAAAACACACTATATTCATCTGTCCTCCTGTGTGCGGCTGACCCTTCTTCCTGTTGCGTCATTTGTGGGGTGGCGGGCCGGGGCCTGCACCTGTTGTGGATTGGTCTGGGCTGTTTGCCTGGGCGGTATACCTTTTGTTCTTTGGATTCTTCCAATGGATTTTCCAGTGGGTTCCAATGGCTTTTCCAATGGTTTCCAATGGCTTTTCCAATGGGTTCTAAAACCCATTTAGAAATAAAGCTCCCCCTCAAAGAAAAAAAAATCTCAGCCCTGGTCTCTGATTGGGAAACAAGGGTGACATCACTGTGCCTCCCAACAGAGCTGGGATCTTGAAATCTCTTGAGAATGTACTCTTGCTGAAGTGCATTTCCAAGAAGTTTTGGAAATGGGGGCCAGTTAGTATTTTTTTTTTTTGGGGGGGGGGGGTCAGTGGTGTGTTTACAAATAGCTTTTAGAAAGCATTTGTGTTGGGGGTAAAGGTGGGGCTGAAGGGGGCTGGCAAAAAAAGCAGATGTTCTGTTTGCCATGGAAGTCCACTTTAACCAAGAGCATCCATACCCTTCGAGGGTGTGGGAACCAAATGATAGAGCTGTGGGACTGATTGGGTATTGCTGAATTAAATGAACATGACTAAATCCTTATGATTTTCTTTCATCATTTTCTAAATCCAAGCTAGAGACATCTTATGATGTCATGGCGGTATCTTATTGGACTGATGATGATGATGATGATGACAGTCTAATGAAGTCTAATGAGGGTATAGGGACAAATTGGGCAGTCCATAGGGAGGTCTTATTTTGGGCCAGTTATAATGTTAACAGTCTGATGAAGCGGGTGTAGGGACAACATGGGCAATTCATTGGGGGTGGGATATTGGACTGGTAATGATGACAGTCTGATGAAGATATCATGGGGGCAAGTTGGGCAATCCATTGGACCAGTAATAATGTTAACAGTCTGATGAAGAGGGTATAGGAACAAATTGGGCAGTCCATTGGGGCTCTGATATTGGACTGGTAATGATGATGACAGTCTAATGAAGTCTAATGAGGGTATAAGGACAAATTGGGCAGTCCATAGGGGTGTAGGGACCACATGGGCAGTTCATTGGGGGTGGGATATTGGACTGGTAATGATGATGATGCAGTCTGATGAAGATATCATTGGGGCAAGTTGGGCAATCCATTGGACCAGTAATAATGTTAACAGTCTGATGAAGAGGGTATAGGAACAAATTGGGCAATCCATTGGGGCTCTGATATTGGACTGGTAATGATGATGACAGTTTGATGAAGAGGTTATAGGGGCAAGTTGGGCAATCCATTGGGGGTCTGATATTGGGATGATGATGATGACAATGTGATGGTGAGGTTTTACAGACAAATCGAGCAATGCATTGGGGGTCTGATATTGGACCAGTAATAATGTTAACAGTCTAATGAAGGGGGTATAGAAACAAATTTGACAATCAATTGGTTGTCTGTAATTGGACTGGTGATGATGTTGATGACAGTTTGATGAAAAGAGTATAGGGGCAAGTTGGGTAGTTCACTGGGGGTCTGATATAGGGATGATGATGATAATAGTCTGATGAAGAGGTTGTTAGGACAAACTGGGCAATCCATTGGGGGTCTGATATTGGGATGATGATGATGACGGGATGATGTAGAGGGCATAGGGACAAATTGGGCAATCCATTGTGGGTCTGATTTTGGGATGATGATGATGACGGGATGATGATGATGACGGGATGATGTAGAGGGCATAGGGACAAATTGGGTAATCCATGGGGGTCTGATATTGGGATGATGATGACGGATGATGATGTAGAGGGCATAGAAACAAATTGGGCAATCCATTGGGGTTATGATATTGGGATGATGATGATGATGACGGGGTAATGTAGAGGGCATAGGGACAAATTGGGCAATCCATTGGGGGTCTGATATGATGGGATGATGATGATGAGAGGGATGATGATGATGACGGGATAATGTAGAGGGCATAGGGCATAGGGACAAATTGGGCAATCCATTGGAGGTCTGATATGATCGGATGATGATGATGATGATGATGACGGGATGATGTAGAGGGCATAGGGACAAATTGGGGGCAATCCATTAGAGGGGGGGTCTGATATTGGGATGATGATGATGATGACAGGATGATGTAGAGGGCATAGGGACAAATTAGGCAATCCATTGGGGGTCTGATATTGGGATGATGATGATGATGACGGGATGATGATGATGGGATAATGTAGAGGGCATAGGGACAAATTGGGCAATCCATTGGAGGTCTGATATTCGGATGATGATGATGATGATGACGGGATGATGTAGAGGGCATAGGGACAAATTGGGCAATCCATTGGGGGTCTGATATTGGGATGATGATGATGATGACGACGGGATGATAATGATGATGATGACGGGATGATGTAGAGGGCATAGGGACAAAATGGGAAATCCATTGGGGGTTTGATATTGGATGATGATGATGATGATGGGATGATGTAGAGGGCATAGGGACAAATTGGGCAATCCATTGGGGTCTGTAATCATAAAACATTTAGGAACCCCGGCAGTAGATTGTAGACCTGTTTAGTTGCTGTCATACCTTTTTTATGTTTTTCTTTCTTTCTTTCTTGCAGATTTTGGGCTATTTTGATTATGCGTTTACGTCTATCTTCACCGTAGAGATCCTCCTTAAGGTAACAAAGATCAAAAATCTCTTTCCATTTCTCTTTAGTCTGTCTGAATTTCCAGTATTTTATTCTAGTTATTGCTCTGTCTTAAAAGACAACTAAACCCAAGGACAAAAATGTAATATATTGCAGTTTACTGGTCCTTAGGTATTGAAATATTTAGTAGCCAGGAAATGTCACGGATGGACTTATTGCACAGGTGCCACCTATCACGGGACCACGCTTGGAGTCACTGAGCTCCTGAGAGCGTCCCATTCTTTCACCAATGTTTGTAGAAGCAGTCTGCATGCCTAGGGGCTTGATTGTATACACCTGTGGCCATGGAGGGGATTGGAACACCTGAATCACATGATATGGAGGGGATTGGAACACCTGAATCACATGATATGGAGGGGATTGGAACAGCGGAATCACATGATTGGAACGGGATTGGAGCACCTGAATCACATGATTGGGAGGGGATTGGAACACCTGAATCACATGATTGGGAGGGGATTGGAACACCTGAATCACATGATATGGAGGGGATTGGAACACCTGAATCACATGATATGGAGGGGATTGGAACAGCTTAATCACATGATATGGAGGGGATTGGAACACCTGAATCACATGATATAGAGGGAATTGGAACCGGAATCACATGATATGGAGGGGATTGGAACACCTGAATCACATGATATGGAGGGGATTGGAGCACCTGAATCACATGATTGGAAGGGCACCTGAATCACATGATTGGAAGGGCGGGGCCAATACTTTGGGCAATATAGCGTATGTGTGACGTTCAGTCTGGGTGACAACCCTGTCTCCCTCTGTAGATACAGTAAAGCATTGAGTGTTGTCACCCTAGACAGGAAGCATGTTATTGGCAGGATCACCAGGTGAAAAAAAATGAATACGGTCACCATATCTAAGGACTGGTAAGATGCAATATATTATATTTTTGTTTTGGGGTTTGGATACGGATAACAGGGAAATGATGGATATTAATGTTTTTTTAATATTTTGGGAGTTTATTGTATAAGAAATGTTATTGGACAGAATCCATATCTTCCAGATTTATTGCAGCCTGCTTTCATGCTCCAATGTGTGCAACACCTGCTGGGCTTTCTAACATCAAAGTCCAGCACTAGTTCGGTATTTACAGCCCAACTCCAGCTCTCTGTTGGTGTGAAAATGATAGGAAATCCAACCTGATTCATCCCTGATTGATAGAACTGAAATCCAATGAAAGGGGCGGGGCCAGGGACAGTCAGGCTGGGGAGGAAAGACCTAGATGATGCTAGTCGTTCTGCAGCCAGGAAACCAGCACAGCAAAGTGTTAGGCTGATGGTCCAGACTGGGCTGTCAGTAGGTCCGGATCCGGACCGTGGTCCGCCATTTAGTGAAGGCTGGGCTAGATGATGCTGGACATCCTCCAGCCAGGAAAGGAGGTGGAGCTCTATCCGATTGGCTGCAGCTTCTAATGCACATTGTGAGAAGCTCCCAGTGTGCAGCGACATCAGAGGAAGCCATTTCAGTCCAGGGGAGGAGCCGGTACACCTGTGCAAAAGGGGAGGAGCCGATACACCTGTGCAAGACTGAAGGGGAGGAGCGGAACACCTGTGCAAGACTGAAAGGGAGGAGCCGGTACAACTGTGTAATACTGAAGGGAAGGAGCCGGTACACCTGTGCAAGATTAAAGAGGGACCTGGAGGGAAGCCGATACACATGAGCAAGACTGAAGGGGAGGAGCCAGTGCAACTGTGTAAGACTGAAGGGGAGGAGCTGATACAACTGAAGGGGAGGAGCCAAGATGGAAGGGGAGGAGCTGGTACAACTGTGCAAGACTGAAGGGCAGGAGCCGGTACACCTGTGCAAGACTGAAAGGGAGGAGCTGCAACTGCGCAAGGCTGAAGGGGAACACCTGTGTGCAAGACTGAAGGGGAGGAGCCGGTACAACTGAGTAATACTGAAGGGAAGGAGCCGGTACACAAGTGTGCAAGATTAAAGAGGAGGAGCCAGTGAACACATGGACACCGGTGCAAGACTGAAGGGAAGGAGCCGGTACACCTGTGCAAGACTAAAGGGGAGGAGCCGGTACACTGTGCAAGACTAAAGGGGAGGAGCCGGTACACCTGTGCAAGACTAAAGGGGAGGAGCCTGTACACCTGTGCAAGACTAAAGGGGAGGAGCCTGTACACCTGTGCAAGACTGAAGGGGAGGAGCCGTTAGGTACACCTGTGCAAGCCTGAAGGGGAGGAGCCGCTACACCTGTGCAAGACTTCCTTATTTAAGAAATAAATGCTCTCCTGTTTATTCTGCCATAATACACATAGTGGTCAATGTATCTGTTTACTCCCCTTGTTCCTATCCCCGGTATGTAACGTCTCTCCTCACGCCCCCGCCCCCACGCGTCTCGTCTCTTTTTCAGATGATGGCGTATGGCGCCTTCCTGCACAGAGGCTCTTTCTGCAGGAACTGGTTCAACCTCCTGGATCTCCTCGTCGTTAGCGTGTCTCTCATCTCCTTCGGGATCCAGTGAGTCAGGATGATTGTTCGTTCCCTCGGCCTGTCTCCGGGGGGGGGGGGGGGGGGGGGGGGTTTGGCGGTCTATATCTGGTGCAGAGCACAAGTGTCAGTCCAGGTCTTATAAATAAAAAATAAAAATGAAGTGGACTAAAAAAAATGAAGTGGAGATGTTCAGACACTTGACTAAAAGAATAAAGCGGTATTAAACCCAAAACCGGAGATATCCTATATTGCAGCTTACCAGTGGTGGCTGCATTAGTTTTCTTTTTTTAGGTTTTTTTTCCCCTGCTGTTTTCGCCTGGTGATCTGGCCAGTAACATACTTGTATTAGAGCGCCCCCACTCTGGAGGAAGGGGCATGGGGGAGCGCCTTTGGACAGCAGCATTGTCAGTCTGAGTGGGGGTGTTACATGTATTAGCAGATTTAGATACACTAACACATTGAAGCCAAACTCCAGCCCACATTTTATAATTAGTTACAGTAACAGTTTTGCTCCTTTTGGTTTTACATAAATAAATACAAGCTGAACATTGTGAGCAACAACCCCCCCGGTCAGTGGTAAATGGTTCTGTCTCATCCCTGTAACTGATACATCTGCAGAAGAGCTCGTTCTTTTGAAAAACGACAGACTTACTAGCAGGATCACTAGGTGAAAAAAAAAAGAAGAAAACTAATGCAGCCGTCGAATCTAAGAATTTTAAAGCTGGGATATAAGAAATGTTTGCTTTTGGGTTTAATACCGATTTCACAAAATGAATGGTCACTGCACTTAGGATGAAGCTTTCACTGCAATCAACCAATCACATGCTAGGAAGAGGCCAGGACTACATGCACTCAGCTGTATCCATGGACCCCATTTTTTCCCTGTTTCACCTACCCCCCCTTTTTTTTTTTTACCCTCCCTCCTTTTCTGCTTTCACACTCCCTACCCTACCTCCCCTGGGTGTTGGGCTGTTGCCTCCTGTCCCTGGCGTCCCGCCAAGACCCCTCTCCCAGTTCCTAATCCCTATGGCTCACCATTCAAGGTTGAGTTTGCCCTTCACTTCTACACCCCCTTTCCCTCATACCCTGATGTCATCACCGAGTCTTTGTGCTTCTCTATGCAATACAGGCAGATCATCCCTGCTGGGAGGGGCCGTAAGGGGGATGTACATGGCTTCCTGAAAACAAGAAAATAGAACCACTTCTTCAGTTGCTCCCATCAGAGTACCCCCATATGTCAGTCGTCCCCACCAGAGTACCCCCTTAAATCAGGTGTCACCATACATAAGGTTCCTCCATCAGTGCGCCCTCATATCAGGTGTCCCCATCAGGGTGTCCCCATATATCAGATTCCCCCATCATAGTACTCCCATATATCAGCTGCCAAAATCACCATGCCCCCTTACATCAGGTTTCCCTATCAGAGTGCCCCCATACCTCAGGTTTCCCCATCATAGTGCTCCCTTTCATCAGGTGTCCCCATCAGAGTGCCCCCTTACATCAGGTGTCCCCATCAGAGTGCTGCCTTACATCAGGTGTCCCCATCAGAGTGCCGCCATACATCAGGTGTCCCCATCAGTGTGCCCCCTTACATCAGGTGTCCTCATCAGAGTGCCCTCATACATCAGGTGTCCCTATCAGAGTGCCCTCTTACATCAGGTGTCCCTATCAGAGTGCTGCCTTACATCAGGTGTCCCCATCAGGTGCCCCATCATGCCCCATACATCAGGTGTCCCCATCAGAGTGCCCCCATATATCAGGTGTCCCTATCAGAGTGCCCCCATATATCAGGTGTCTCTATCAGAGTACCCCCATACATCAGGTGTCCCCATCAGTATGCCCCCTTACATCAGGTGCCCCCATCAGAGTGCCTCCTTACTTCAGGTATCGCCATCAGTGTGCCTCCTTACATCAGGTGTCCCCATCAGAGTGCCTCCTTACATCAGGTGTCCCCCATCAGTGTGCCTCCTTACATCAGGTGTCCCCATCAGAGTGCCTCCTTACATCAGATGTCCCCATCATTGTGCCTCCTTACATTAGGTGTCGCCATCAGTGTGCCTCCTTACATCAGTTGTCCCCATCAGTGTGCCTCCTTACATCAGGTGTCCCCATCAGAGTGCCCCCATACATCAGTTGTCCCCATCAGTGTGCCTCCTTACATCAGGTGTCCCCATCAGTGTGCCTCCTTACATCAGGTGTCCCCATCAGAGTGCCCCCATACATCAAGTGTCCCCATCAGTGTGCCCCCTTACATCAGATGTCCTCATCAGAGTGCCCTCATACATCAGGTGTCCCCATCAGAGTGTCCCCATATATCAGGTGTCCCTATCAGATTACCCCCATACATCAGGTGTCCCCCTCAGAGTGCCCAATACAGCAGGTGTCCCCATCAGTGTGCCTCCATACATCAGGTGTCCCCATCAGAGTGCCCGATACAGCCGGTGTCCCCATCAGTGTGCCTCCATACATCAGGTGTCCCCATCAGTGTGCCTCCATACATCAGGTGTCCCCATCAGTGTGCCTCCATACATCAGGTGTCCCCATCAGAGTGCCCAATACAGCAGGTGTCCCCATCAAAGTCTCACTATAGATCAGTAGAGTCCATTAGAGCCAGGTGGGGGCAGGAGCTGGAAGGAGAAGCAAGCTGCAGGGGGGCGGGGCACACATGTGACATCATTGGTTACTATGACGCCAATCAATGACTGCAGCTTTGTGAGGAGCGAGCACAGCAGAGTGGTGGACTGTCAGTAGGTCCGAGTGTGGACCGTGGTCTGCCATTTCATGAAGGCTGGGCTAGATGTTGCTGGACGTCCTCCAGCCAGGAAATGAGGCAGAGCTCTAATGCACATTGTGAGAAGCCTGGAGGGGAGGCGGGAGGGAGGACCGAGGGATTGGAGGCGGGAGGGAGGACCAAATTGGAGGCGGGAGGGAGGACTGAAGGGGAGGCGTGAGGGAGGCTGGAGGAGAGGCGGGAGGGGAGGCAAGAGGGAGGACTGGAGTTTAGGCGGGAGAGAGAGGACTGGAGGGGAGGAGGGAGGGAGGACTGGGAGGAGAGAGGACTGGAGGGGGAGGGAGAGGGAGGACTGGAGAGAGGAGGCTGGAGGGGAGGGGAGAGGACAAGAGGGAGGGGAGACTGGAGGGGGCGGGAGAGAGGACTGGAGGGGAGGGCGGGAGGGAGGACTGGAGGGGAGGGGGAGAGAGGACTGGAGGGGAGGCGGGAGGGAGGACTGGAGAGGAGGCGGGAGGGAGGACTGGAGGGGAGGCGGGAGGGAGGGGAGAGAGAGGACTGGAGGGGAGGGGAGGGGACTGGAGGCGGGAGGGGGAGGACTGGAGGGGAGGCGGGAGGGAGGACTGGAGGGGAGGCGGGAGGGAGGACTGGAGGGGAGGCAGGTGGGAGGACTGGAGGGGAGGCAGGGAGGAGGGAGGACTGAAGGGGAGGCAGGGGAGGGAGGACTGAAGGGGAGGCAGGAGGGAGGACTGGGCAGGAGGGCGGGACTGAAGGGGAAGCGGGCGGGAGGACTGGAGGGGAGGCGGGAGGGAGGACTGGAGGGGAGGAGGAGGACTGGAGGGGAGGACTGGAGAGGAGGGAGGACTGAAGGGGAGGCAGGAGGGAGGACTGAAGGGGAGGCAGGAGGGAGGACTGGGCGGAAGGGAGGACTGAAGGGGAAGCGGGAGGGAGGACTGGAGGGGAGGCGGGAGGGGGGACTGGAGAGGAGGGAGGACTGAAGGGGAGGCAGGAGGGAGGACTGAAGGGGAGGCAGGAGGGAGGACTGGGAGGGAGGAGGGAGGACTGAAGGGGAAGCGGGAGGGAGGACTGGAGGGGAGGCGGGAGGGAGGACTGGAGGAGGCAGGGAGGACTGGAGAAAGCGGGAGGGACGACTGAAGGGGAAGCGGGAGGGAGGACTGGAGGGGAGGCAGGAGGGAGGACTGGAGGGGAGGAGGGAGGGAGGGGAGGCTGGAGGGAGGACTGGAGGGGAGGCGGGGGAGGACTGAAGGGGAGGCGGGAGGGAGGACTGGAGGGGAGGTGGGAGGGAGGACTGGAGGGGAGGCAGGAGAGGACTGAAGGGGAGAGGAGGGAGGACTGAGGGGAGGCGGGAGGAGGACTGGAGGGGAGGGAGGACTGGAGGGGAGGCAGGAGGGAGGACTGAAGGAGGACTGGAGGGGAGGCGGGAGGGAGGACTGGAGGGGAGGGAGGGAGGACTGGAGGCGGGGGAGGACAGGAGGGAGGAGGGAGGACTGGAGAGCGGGAGGGAGGACTGGAGGGGAGGGGAGGGAGGGGAGGGAGGCTGGAGGGGACTGGAGGGGAGGGAGGACTGAAGGGGAAGGCGGGAGGGAGGACTGGAGGGGAGGAGGGAGGACTGAAGGGGAGGGGAGGGAGGACTGAAGGGGAAGCGGGAGGGAGGACTGGAGGGGAGGAAGGGGAGGGAGGACTGGAGAGGAGGGAGGACTGGAGGACTGAAGGGGAAGCGGGAGGGGACTGAAGGGGAAGCTGGAGGGAGGACTGGAGGGGAGGAGGGAGGGAGGACTGAGGGGAGCGGGAGGGAGGACTGGAGGGGAGGCTGGAGGGAGGACTGGAGAGGAGGGAGGACTGAAGGGGAGGGAGGGAGGACTGGAGGGGGCGGGAGGGAGGACTGGAGAGGAGGGAGGACTGGAGGGGAAGCGGGAGGGAGGACTGGAGGGGAGGCGGGAGGGAGGACTGGAGGGAGCGGGAGGGAGG